TTGAATACATACCTTCAACTCGGATATGAAATACAAGAAACATGTTTGTTCACTTCAGCTCTTCTTTTGACTTCTTACCTTTGCAAGAGATTTACTCTTATAAAGAAGTTGTTTTTTCTGATCTGCCTTTTGTGTCCAGGCCAACCAGAGCCCACGAATGCTGTGGGCAGCAGAATGTCCCTTATTGTTGGCCAGGACATGGCCACAATGATTTGTTAATCCTTCCTTCTTCTTTTTATCTCCACAAAGTAGAGACTTATTAAGATCCAATGTTCCAGTGATTCCTTCTGTAAATATCACTGCAGATCCCCCTTCACAAGGGGCAACATCCCATGTTGGTCAGTAAACCACTAAGAGCGCAGTGTATATTATCCAGGACATAACTGGGATTGGTCAGAGCACTGCAGAGCCAGCTTTTCTCCCTGTTTGCCATAAAAGAAGCTCAGGCTCCTCAATGTCTCCCCAAGCAGAAATAACAGCCTATCCCTTTCTTCAGAGAAGGGGTGAAGCTGTGCTATCCACCCACCAGCGTCGCTCCTACGTGTGTGCCGAGGGATAACCAGGACACAGCCTGCAGTACGTGCTGTCCTTGCTTGTGCACGCCTGTGTGTACACATGCTCGCATGCCTTCTTGCCCATGGGGAGCCAGCTCTGTTCACCAGGGCAAAGGGCAAAGCTGGGTGTGGGGGGAGCTGGGGATGATTTTCAGCTCCAAGACACAGAGAAGGCAGCCATGGCTCAGCCAGCAGTAGGGCATGCTGTCATCTGCAGGGTCCTGATGTTCATCCTCCCACCTGCAAGTCAGCCCTACAGGACACATCACCCTGATGCCCTGCATGGGTCCTGGGTGTGCAAAGGGAGGAAGAACAAGGCCTCCCATGACCCAAAGACCAGGACAGAGTGAAAAGATAAAATCTCTCTTTGTCTCCACTGAGATGAACAAACCCATCTCCCTCGGCCTCTCCTTGCACTGAGCTCCAGCCCCAGTCATCTTGATGACCTTCACAAGCCTCACTCCAATGTCTGTCTTGTGCTGAGAGCCCCAAACTGGAGCTGGTGTGCCAAACAGAGGGGAAAAAAAATCACTTGCCCTAACCCACTCCTGCACTCTTGCTAGCCTAGCCAGGATGCAGTTGGCCACCTTCACCACGAGGGCCCACTGCTGGCTGCTGCCAGCATCTCCCCAGCCTGGGAAGAGGGAAGAACCGGTCTTCAGAGCAAGATGCTCCCCCCATTGCTAGTTTGTGAGTGTCTAGGGCTCTCCAGCACAGCTGTCAGCCAGGATAGAACGAGTCCTTGCTGTTGCAGTGCAGTGCTGGCCTTGGCTGCAACCTTGAGCCACATCAGCTGTGCAGAGGCACGGGGCTATGCAGCCCGGCCAGCTGGTGGGCAGGCAGCCCAGGCCATCAGCCATGACCCTCATGCAGCAGGACCCTAGCTCTCACCTCCTAGCTTCCAGGACCCAGTGAGCAGGGGGTTGTGTGCTTAGATAGTGTGGAGTTGTGCAGCATGGGGCAAGCCATGCACACACACACCCTCAGGGCTGCTGCAGAAGGGTTGAAGGCCAGAACAGTTGTCTGTCCCTCGTTATCCCTTGTTATCTTCCAGACAAACCCAAATCAGGGCCTGGCTGAGCACAGGGTCCCTGACGTGCTCACACACTTGGCAGCCAAGGCTGGGCCACACTGCAGGCATGGGTTCTCCCTGTCTGTCCCCCATGGGGCTAGGGTAGCCCAGGCAGCTGTGCAGCCCCTGGGGCATGCTGCAGGGTGCTGGGGAGGACAGGAGTGCCCCTTAGGTGGCAGGGCAGCCCCTGGGGTGCACTGCAGGGTGCTGGGGAGGATGGGACTGGCATAGCCCAGGTGGCAAGGCAGCCACCAGGGCACACTGCAAGTTGCTGGGGGAATGAGAGGGCAGAGCTGCATGGCCGAAACCACATAGGGAGGGCCCTGGGGTGCTGTTGGGGAAGGCCGAGGACTGGTACGCCAGAGACGGGACTGCCCCCCACAGAGCCCTTCCCCAGGAGCCAGAGTGCAGACTGCAGGCAGCTCAGGGCTGGAGCAGTTCTGGCCATCCCAACACCCTGCAGCCAAGGTCCCAGCTCCTACCACAGGGCCTGCCCATGCTCTCAGATAACAAGGAGCTAGGGTAGATTTCCCTTGTGCAGGAGGGAGCTGGGCCTCTCCCAGTGCCCCAGTCTTTGCCGGTTTCTCCCTAACAAAATGTTGCAGCCCTCCTGGGAAGGAGAGTAGAGAAATAAGGTTTGGGTGGGGTGATGGCTTCCCCTGTACTGCTTGTGACCTGCTCCTGCTTTGCAAACACAAACCCCAGGGCTAGAAACACGTCCTTCTGTGGGACAGGGGCAACTCTGAACCTAGACGTGGCCCTGCCAAGTGACATAGCAGCTGGGAGACCTTTGTGACATCTCAGGCGATGTCAAGGGCAGCACATGGCATCCATGTCACAGCTGCAAAGCGGACTCTGCACTTGCCAGTGTTGTTGTCCTCTGTGCATGCCGTTAGGGAAATCCTGATATGATAAGATAAGGCATCGCCACCAAACTCTATCAGCCCCAGGCTGCCCTGCAGCGATCCTGAGCCACACAGGGCTCTGCAGACTACTTCCTCTGAGGACCCAGGTTGAGAGCAGCACAAAGCCCAGCACTGCATGTCACTGATATGGACCCCTGTTGGCACACAGTCCCCCAGCAGGGAAGCAAAGCATCATCCAGGATGAGTAAATAAACCTGAGATTCAGAGGCTGGCTCTGAAAGCAATGAACTGCACCAGAGGAATCGTGTTGGCTCTTTTCTCTTTCTTTCTGGTCTCTGTTCCCTGAAGTTGTGCCCAGGTATCCTCAGCTCCCTCTTAGCTGTGGGAGGTGAAAACTGGACTCCCGAACTGGGAGGGCCCAGCATCCAGGCCTGCATCCCACTGCCTGGAAGGGTCTGGTTGCAAGCACACTCCTCCCTGCAAGCAGCACTGCAGAGGAGAAGGAGGGCACCCTCTAACCCCTATTTACCATTATCAGAAACTACACGGGACCACTGGTATGCACCTGAGTGCTGTGCACAAAGGTGTGCACATACTCGCATGTCCATATACACACTGTGTACACAGAGAGGGCATATACACATTGGGGATACACCCCCATACACAGTGCGGTGCACAAACATGCACATATTTGTAAACACACATGGGTGGGGTGCATGCACACACACATCTCTCCACACACAGACACATCTATACATTACACAGCATACATATGCAAACGCACATCTATCCACCCACACAGGCAAATCCATATACACCACCATACCCACACAGGGACACAGGGATACCTTTACACATACACAGATGCACATGAATGCACAAGGTACATGTGCAAAAGGCACCTGCACATACCTGTACATACACATATCCATACACACACACAGAGGCCTGCACAGACACACATGCATGCAGCTGTGCATGCCTCAGGGCATACCCACACTGGCACAAAGGGGCATGTCCACCACTGGGCCCACATCGACTACACAAAAGCGCCTGCTCACAGACTTAGTGCGCTGGGTGCACACACCCTCCCTGGCCCTCAGGTCGCTCAGCTGCTTCCCCCAGGACCTCTAGCAAGGGACCTGAGCAAGAGTGAGTCCTGAGGCTCAGTGCCTCCCTTCCCAGCCTCACTGCCCACCTGCACCCATCGGCAACTCTGTGGCCACAGAGGGATGGGACGGCCACAGGTTGGGGGGATGCAACCCAGAACGTTCCCAGCCACAGATGGCTGAAGCACTGCAGGGACAAGTCCCAATCCTCCAACACTGCCCAACCCCTGCCTCCTGCACATCCCCACTCCCTGGCAGCAGGCAGCCCCATGCCATTGCCCCTCCAGTGCCACTAGTGCAGCCCCATGGTCCCCTCAAGTTCGTGCAGCCCCCAGCTGCTGTCCTGGGCTCGCCTGTGGCCTCCAGTGTGGGTGCCAGCCCCACTGCAGCCTGGCTGACCTCCAAGGCCTGAGAACGCCAGCCCAGCCCAGCCCTGCCCAGCCTGGCCATGCTGTCTCTGGGGATCCAGTTGGCCCGGGCCAGCTTACACAGTGGCAAGGCCACGTCACCAAGGCCACATCACTGCACAGAGGTGAGAGGTGCCAGGGCCAAAGGGTCTCAGCCATCATCCTGGATCTCTCTGCTCACCCTCCAGGTCGGGGTGGGGACCCGGGGACCCTGTAGGCACCGTACCAGCAGGGACACGTGGGTTCCCACATTTTAAGCCAAAGCAGGAGCAAAGTGCGAGGCGGACCAGGCAGCGGTGGGCACCGCCGGCCGCCCCGGGCCGCAGCAG